GCCCTGTCCTTCTTCTTTCTTCTTCCTAGCCTCCATCTTCTGGGTGATGTTGGCATTTTTAGATTGGTTTAGAGTAGAAGCTCACTGTCTAACATAGGTGATAGGTATTGGAAAGTAATTGTAAATAATGTGTATGTAGTTTTTAGTATAAAAAGATAACACCACCCTGGAGCAGGCAGAGTGCCTCTGATTGTCCTGCTGAGCAGACCTCAGCAGTCCAAGAGAAAGAATTTTATAGATAAGATACAATAAACAACCTTAAGAACGAGAACTGAAGAGTTCTGACTCTTTCTTTGACAGCTGGGCTGAGTGCCTGATCACCTGGCTGGTGCCGCAGGTGCCCTGGCCTGAGCTACCTGCATTGAATGTATTCTTCTACAGGCTCAGCAAAAGCCACTTACAGAGATCCCTAATGGCAGGAAAATATATTTCTGGAAGAACTCTGATAAAATATGTTTTTTCAGATTGGGTAAAAATTAGTTACAAAAATTTAGAACAGTGCTACAGGTACTGTTATGTAGGTATAATGGTATTGTGCTAAAGATATGAAGTGTTTGTATTATGCATATGCGATAAAGAGCAAATATGTAAAAATTAATTAAGGACATATGAATTTATATGTTATATGAATAAGCTCTTTATTATTTAGAATGGACAATAAAGATATGCTATTTAAACAGGATTTATTTAACATTCATATAACATTCCCTTATACTTGTGCTTGCTCAACAAATTGCTTTTCTTTTTCTAGGCAACCTAGAACATGCCTATGTAAAAATATGGACTTAACTTCCGTAGAAAGCAAAGAAAGACAAACCTTCGTCCATTAAAACTGACATTCACTCTTAAAGAGTAGCAGGAAGTCTGCAAATGTTTTTAACAGGACTCCATAGACAGCAAAAAAGAAAGAAAATGAATTTGTTCCTGTCATTCTCACCAAACTGAATTCAGCAAAAGCTTGTGGAGACATGAAGTGACCAGTTCTAAGAGTAATTAGTACTTTGTAGAAATTTACTGTAAAAATCCCCTTGTAGTAGAACTATACATAGACAATTTCAGCCTTTATTTTAACCTGAAATGCTATACCATTTTCAAAACCTGCCACTTCTCTCAAGGCTGCTTTTAAAAACAACCAGAATTAAAAACAAGCATTATTGCTTGTTTTTAATTCTGGTTGTTGCTTGTGCATCTCTCTTTATTTCTGAGTCAAAGCTATTTGCATTTATGCAAAGAAAATTAAATTCTTAGTAAAAAAGATACTTTTAAAACAAAACTTCATTTAAAGAGAGAGCAAATGAAAGAGTCAATGTCTGGCCAAGGTGGTCTTGCCATTAGTTGATGCCATTGCAGCTGAGTCTTAATGAGAACACCTCTCTCCAGCAAAGCTGGCTGGGGTGAGCAGGGTGCACATCAGTGTCCACCTGGGAGTGCTTGTGCAGTGGACCAGGCTGGGGAATGCCTGTCCCCCTACACCACCACCCAAGGGCAAAAGTGATGGACACACCTCCTAAATACAGGATATAATTATTAAAAATTAGACACTTTTTATGGTAGTGAAGCACCATAACCAAAAGATGCAAATAGGTTAAGATTCCAGGTCCATCCGAGGGCTGCAAAGATGGTTAAGGGACTGGAGCATCTTTCTTAAAACTCTTAACAGAGTTGGGCCTGTTCAGCCTGAAGAAGAGACAACTGATAGGGGACCTCACCAATGTCCATCAGTCTCTGAAGGGAGGGTGACAAGAGGATGGACCAGGCTCTTCATGGTGGTGCCAAGCAATAGTACAAGAGGCAATGGGCAGAAATTGATGGACAGGAAATTCCACCTGAATATGAGGAAGAGCTTCTTTACTGTGTGAGTGGCTGTGCACTGGAACAGATTGCCCAGAGATGTTGTGGAGTCTCCCTCACTGTAGGTGAGCAGGGAGGTTGGACCAGATAACCCACTGTGTCCTGTTCCTTCTAGCCTTACCAGTCCTGTGATTCCAAGTGAAGATCAGCAAAGAACTATACAACACAGAAATCTCAGGACTGAAGTAAAATGCTTTAAAATGTAGCTAAACAAATTTTGAGCAACAACGGACAAAAACCTCTCCTATTTTATTAAAAGAATGTGGACAGGTGCCACAAAGGAGGGCAACATCCCATCCTCATCCCATCTCTCCTCTCTGTGATCTAGTTACAGTAGGTTGCATGAATACCAAAGACATTGGAAATGTATTGCTTCTCTTTTTGCATTAACTGCTCATTGTCCTGTTTAACTTACCAGCGAGTCATTCATAAAAACTAACTACCAGAACTACTGTTTCATGAACATAACTCAAAGGCTGATAACAAGCTCTTTATGCTTTAGATTAGTTTGAGATAGGAGATAAAGATCTCTGTAGTTCCAAATAGCTCAGTAATTCAATTGAAAAGTACACAGGAAATACAGACAAAGTTATATTTTTATTTTCTAATCAAACTGTGTTGAAACAGTCTTATTTTTGTTTGATAGATTCTACAAATTTATGAGTATGTGAGAACATTTCTGATGCTCAAAAACTCTAATCTCCATAATTGTAATAATTGTAATGAAACATTAAGGGTTACATGGCAATGGGTGAATAAAAATATCTTCATTCATTCATTCATTCATTCATTCATTCATTCATTCATTCATTCACATTGTTGTTCTTACTGAGACCTTTTTAAGACCACCATGATATTTTGGAGCCTGAATTACTATTTTTGAATGCCCGGAATTTATGGCAGAACCACTTTTGTGGAAAGGAGATGGTTTTTCTTATAGATCTTGCAGAATTTGATTAATCCAAGTCTACAAAATACTTGGAACTCATATAATGCATTATATAAATGTATTTATTAACCAGTAATTGATGCAACTTATTCAATATCCCATGAACTGCTGTGTTCACTCAGCACTTAGACAAGACACATTAAGAGCAAGAATTTCAGGCAAAGTATTCTTCATCAGGCTGGTTTTGGTTTAATAGATGTGCTCCGAAGTGTGTTGGTCTCCCTTTGGACTGGGAGGAGAATCCAACCCACGGCACAGAGGTTGCTGGGAGCCAGGACTCTTGTTTGCTCAGCCCTGCCCTGCTGTGCCTGTGCTGGTGATATGGCCTGGGCTGCACCTACAGGGAGGGAATGCAAGCCTGAGAGCAGCCATGAGGTGCTGCCCTGGCGCCAGCCCAACCTGCTTGGACTTTGCTTGAGTCCAGGGGAAAAGGAAGCGGCTTTGTGCTTCTGTCTCTAAGTGAAACCTTTGACCTCACGTTTGGGCTTCTCAAGAGGAAGTCTGTCCTGTTGTCTTTGAGCATGAAATTAACCCCTGAATGCACAGCATTTAGTTTCAGCTTTGCTGGGCTTGGATCACTGAGGTCTAGGACGGATATTGGTGCCAGCAGCCGAGGCCAGCAGCACAGCATCACTTCTCATGGGCATTGTTGAAGGCACTGGTTCGTTCTCTGGCTGCACTGACCTTGAGATGCAAAAAGGTGGAGGTATTTCTGAACTGATGAATTTACCCTGCTGGCTGTCCTTATAACTTGAAAAGTAATGAGATAGATGCACACTTGAGGCTTGAAGATGGGAGATGATGGAGGGCATTAAGTCATGGAGCTTCCATAAATGTCAAACAGAGGTGTATGTCCAGGGAGGCATTTCCATATAAGTCACAAGGGAGACAGAAAAAGAGCTAAAATGGTTGCACTGTAATCTTTGGAAGTCCAGAAGTGAACACGAAGTACATACACAGATAGCCCAATACCACAGTTATTTAGTCACAGAAATCAAAGTCCCACAGAAAGTCCCTTGAGGTCCAAGCTTGTGTATGGTGTGCCAACAAAAGCTGACCATCCATAGCTGGCAGAAGTTAAAATTATGTGGTACTTTTGACATTTTCTATTCTGAGCACAGGAATTAGTTCTTTAAATAGTGTTCACTGTAGGTGGTGGCAACACAAAATGTGCACCCTCCTCTCCTCAGACCACAGGCTTCATTCTCTAATGGCTCGCCCATATGACCAGGTCTTGATTACCAAAGTGGGTAATTGAAATAAGTGTGATTATTTGTGCTTGGCTTGGCCTCTAATGAATGTAGAATTGCTTCCAATAGCTAAAGGTCAGTCTCAGCAATGATTCAGGTTTATCAGGTGAGCCATGTAATTTGACTCTGAAGTGAAACTGCCAAACCCTAGAAGGTTTGACCCCCATTTTGTCACTTCTTTGGAAGTTTGTGATACTTTTAGTTGAGGGCACAGCTGCAATCAGACCTCATGGTCCTGCTGAGATGAGTGGTAACACAACTGATTTGTGGCAATTTTTGCAGCAGAAATCACATTTAGGGTCACTTGGAAGCTCTTTTGAAAAGAATGTGTGCTAAAATGATCCCCAAGTTTGATATTTGGACATGAAGTACCTTCATTGCATGTTTGAATCAATGTGAATATTCAGTCCCTTGCTATCTATTCCTACCCTTGTCAAAGGCTTCAAGGAAGCTAATTCAGTGTCAGAAATGCAGGTATCATTTAGAGAAACATACTCTGGAAACTCAATTGCCTGTAAGAACTCCTGATGACCTGAAGTTTGCTGCTCTTCTTGCTATTATGGTTGCTGGTACAAGTATTTATAAGAAATCCTGTGCTCAAGGAAACACTTGGTATCTTATCAGCTTTGAAAGTTCCACCCTGTGATGTAAAGCAGTGTCAGTATGAATATTGTCTGCATGGGGAAGAGAAGAGCTAAAACCAAGGGGAAAATGAGCCATGTCTGACTTATCTGTGTAAGGCTAAAAGTATCTTTTTTAACCTATCCCAGGACAACAAGCTGGTTGGTTATAAACTATAAACCTCAACCAGTTTTTCTTCACTGGGCAAGCTCTACAATTCTGAGGCTTGTACTTGTATGGCAACAATAAACCCTGCCCTTTAGAGGAGTCATCAGAGTTGAGATGAGGGTGTTTGGGTGGTGTTCCTTCCTGTTGCTGGTTTTACACAGTCATGGCAAAGGGAGAGTCAGGTAAGCCTGAGCAGCAGAAACTCATTCTGTATTCACAGCTGGGAGGTTGGGAGGGAGGGACGCAAAGAGCATCAAGTTCCAGTCATTCGTGCTGGGTTTTGAAATGTGTTTTCATTCAAAGATCAGTTTTCCAGGTTCTGAGCTGAAGGACATGGACTGCCCAGGCACTGCAGATTTGTCTATATGGTCCACTGAATTTCAGTTTACTTTGTAAGTCAGTCACTGTAAACATACTTCATATCTCATATACACAATAATACTAATTTTTAATTAAGAAATTAAGAACAAGATATAATAAAAAGTTGAAACACTGCTGGGCTTTTGTTTTTCTCAAGCACAGAGCAAAATTCATTCCTAAAGCTCTAAGCCTTCATTCCTGACTCAGCTAACAGGGCCAGCAAAAACCTCAGGAGGGCAAACCCAGAAGGTGAGGAGGTGAAGCACTGAGCTGCAGTAGTGGGGGCTTCCCTTCCAGGGAAGGGTAAGCACAGGGCTGGCTGTGTGAGCTGCAGATCCTGCCCAAGATCTGAGGGGATTACCTGGCTGTGATTTCTGATAAGAGAAAGAGAATGAAGAGCACCTAAATCCTTGCTTCAGTTTGAAGGAGAAATCTTGGAATCTGGGCTCTGCTCCTGACTTTATTTCTGATTTTCATGCAGTGATTGCTATGTGTAATAATTCAGACAGCAGAATCTGTGATTACAGTGATAAACAAAGCCCTAGAGACTATTTTGTTTTATCATCCATATTTCAGTGTCTTACATACACCCAGATGATAGACTCCTCTAAGACCATCTGCATTTATGTGTGTGTGTGAATAAAAAAAGAAGCATCAGTCTGCCAGCTTGATGGTTATTTCATGTCATAATACTATCAAGCCTTGTAAAAAGACTATAGATGAGGAAAGACTTGCATTTTCTTTTTAGATTTTACACAGTGTTATATATATAGTGAGCTATGCAAATTTGGACATGTCTATATAGGTATTGAGTTATGGATGCAAGAGGTAAAATATTGTTTCTTCTGCATTTATGAGGAAAAAATTAATTTTGAAATATGGAGTTTAAAAGTCTTAATGTGTATGTCACCTTAAGACATCATGTTGCAGGACACCAGCATCCTGAAAGAAAGGGAATATCTCCATGGTACAGTATGCAACTCAAGTTTTATCTTCTTTGGAGGTCTTGCATGTAGAGTAAACACAAGTAATCTCTAGAATATGCATTGTTTATTCCAGAAGAGCCACTTGGTTCCATTATGTCATTGCTTGCAAGAAGAAAAAGGAAAACTAAAATCTGTCATCTTGACCTGTGCAAGTTTAATAGCTGAGGAGCTCAAGAGCATTAGCTCAGCAGCTAACAGGGGCCAGGGCCTGGCAGCAGCAAACTGGGGAACTTCTCAGCAGGCCTCTTGTGCCAGTGGTGCCGAGGGCAGGACTGTGAGGTGTGTGCAGAGGGAGAGGTCACATTGCCACGCCTGGGGACACAGGCCGGGAGTGCCCCATGTGTGGGGCACCTTCTGCAGGGATGGGGCTGACCCAGCCCTCCAGGGAGATCCTCTGAGAATGGAGGTGGGCATGTGCTGCTCATTAGTCCATGTGCTGCTGGTTCAGCTTCCTCCTGCTTTGAGAGCAGCCACACCTACCAACAAGCGAAACCAGCTTAGGAGACATCTGTCAAGCTGAGAGGTGGCATCACTGTTACTGCAAGCCAAGAATGAGGCACCATGAGGCTCAAGGGCTGCTGGGGTTGTGGCTAGGCTGAGACACAGCAGGGGCTAGGAGAATTACACCAGTAGAATGGACATGGAGTACTCTGAGGACAGCCAAATACAGAAGCTGGAGATACATGGAAGCACCAACAGGGAAGGACTGTGCCCCTCAGTGGGGTTAAAATTTTATGTGAACTTCCCTGAGAAAGAGCAGAGCCCATGTCTTCCAGCAGATGGGCAATCCACAATGACTGCTGAGAGGAAGGAAGCAAGCAGGAAGGGTCTCTGCTTCTAAGACAGTGTTGGGGAACCTTTTCAGGTACCTTTCCTGAGTTATTGGTCATCTGTTTTCTGCCACCTCAGACAGGAGGACTGATACAACTGAGAATTCAGATTAGCAGGTCAAAACTGAAGAGCCGATTCTGGGGGCAGGGGTGATAGAGACAAGGTTTTCATCATCCAAGGCACACACAGAGCAGTCAAAGAGCCACATCTCCTGGACAGGGGAACAGGGCCACACTAATGATGTGGCTTCACTCACTCTGGCCAGCAAGTATTAGTGCTGCGAACTGCTGGATACTCTGCCTTCCCTCTTTTGTGCAGAGCTTGCTGAAGAGTCAGTGCCATGCTTTGGTCCTATCCCAACACATGCCCACCTGGTTTACCTCACCCCCTTGTGCCCTTTGTCATGATGTGTCTTGTTTTGCATGATTGCTCACAAAAACATATTCATCTGCTTTTCTTGGTTTGTGCTTTTTTGACGAGGTACCCTCTCCTCAGCACAATTCTCACACTATTGTATAAAGACAAATTATCTCAATGTGGACTGGGGTATAAACAATAGAAAGGGCAAAGCTACAAAAAGAGAGTGAGAGATGTTAAAGGAAGGTTTGAAGAATACTTTAAGTGGAAGGAATATGTGGTCCTTTAACGTTTAATATATTCTCATGATTATGAGAACTACAGAGATTTGGCTGAATAATTTAAAACTGAATTGTTTGTGTAGAAGGGTAATTTAAAATCGAATTGTTTGTGTAGAAGGGTAAAATGTTTCAGAAAGAATTGCCAGGAAAATAGAACTGTCAGGAAAAAAGTGAAATGTTGATGGGGATGCACGTCCTTATTTTGAAGTGCAGGATACAAGAGAGAGCAATGATATCAGTGTTGGTAATTATATAGCATGATGAGAATCCACAGTCCTCACAAAGAAAAAGAGGGAAAAGTAGAAAAATCACAGTGAACTTGGAAAAAGCAGACTTCTATAAAATAAGATTAGTGGTAAGAAGAATTTCATAAGAAATAAACCAAAGAAAAGCATTAGCAGGAATGACTAGGTCTCTCAATAAATAGAGTGAATAACATATGTCCCAAAACAAAAGTAGTATTAGGAAGGTTGGTAAAAATAAACTAAATCAGAACTAATTTTTGCTAAATCAGAGATCATCACTGTTCTCAGTCTCTCAAAGAAGTTCAGACAATTATAAGTAGGTTACACAGCTAAACTGAGTATATAGAGTAGGCAAATACAGACAAAACCATAATTATGCCAGTGCAACTATCAAAGCAACAAAGATAACATGAAAATACATTATAAGTGCACTGGTAAGAGGTACATTGTTTGAGAGATAATTTCTGTAGGAACCTTTCCTCAGCAGTATTGTGAAGTCTCATCTGGGAGAATACGGCGGCACAGCTCATCAGCAAGGGTGGAGTGACTGAGCAATGTACAGAGGGCATCCATGTGAATGAGCAGATGCTGAAAGTCCCACAGTGTGTTAGCTATGGAAACTGAGACTGGTCATTATTTGCATTTTTTACAGTCAAGGAGGATGCAGGTATAGGTGATTCTGCCACATGAGAAGTGAAGGAACTAGGTCAATAGAAACTTAAATTTGTTTTCAGCATTACTTTTCCATGCTTCTTTTTCCTCCAGTGGTACTATCTCATGTTGACACACATTAATTATATTGTGAAATTATCATACCCTAATAGATCCATAAAAGAAATATTTTCTAAACAAACAGAAAGGGAAGGAAGCTGAGGTCAGGCAGGTGCAGCTAGTTTGGGAAGTGGAAGAGGTACAAGGAGAGATGTCAGCTGAGTGGAAACCAGGAGTAAAAGTAAAAAGACAAAAAGAGAAAATGAAAAAGGAGCAGGGGAGAAATGACAAAGTTGATAAATGGGAAGGGTAAAAAGGATGTGACTAATGATATGAGAAGAGTTGTTTCTGGAAAAACTGACTCGTTGAACAATGATTCACACAATAAACACCTGGACGTTTGCCTTTTTTTCATTGGATTTACTCAGAGAAACAGCTGGCTCAAGGGCCCAGTCTCACTGCTGAGTTTCTTCTTGTGATTTTATCTGTGGCACCATGTTATGACTGTTGTAAAGCCTTAAGTGCTTCTGGACTTTGTAATACATTTGACATGGGAGACTTTTTTTTTTTCTGCTGTGCAATTGCAACCTGTAAGCAGTTGCTCTGTGCCTGGGAAACTTTTTCAGCCAGAGGAAGGTACTGGGTATGACAGGCTCACCTCTGACTTTAAATAATGGGGACATTCAATTAGGCATGCTAGGTACCTTACCTCTGTGTATTTGTACTTCAGGTAATACACTGCACTTCCTGGCAATTAAACTTCCAAGCAGAGACACTAGCACTTGAAAGACAAATGCTGGTTTATAGGGATTGCACTTCTGACATCATGACTTGAGTTACTCTACACTTGTCATGTGAAAGAGGACTAAAAATGTCATTAGGAATTTGTGGATGTGAATTTGGTTCTGCTGCGTGAAGTCTCATCTCTCTGTTAATACTTCTTGTTGAAAGTACTGCTCATTCAGGTCCAACTAGTACACAGTTAATCTGCATGTAGGTCACTTAAAATCAACATATTTCCGAGAAAGTTAATTTTCCTCTCCTTATATTTATTTAGAAATCAACAGCAATGAGTTTTAATGCTTTATTCAAAACTGATTTTGAACTGTGCTCTAATGATAACTCACTGCTAGCAGACAGCTTTGAGGGAGTCTGAATCATTCTGAATGCATGAGTGAATGGAGAACACTTGTGTTTTAAAGCATGCTGAAAGCATAGCCTAGAGGTTTTTTCTTGGAGAAACAAACACTGATTTCAAGGGAAAAGATCTGAAACCCAAATAGAAGGCCTAACTTCCCAGAACTGTACACCTTAGAGATGCAATCAGTTCTAAACACTTCTTTCTTTAGATACATAATTCAGAAAATGTACTGCACAAATAATCTAACAGTGTCCTAGAGCAATCTGACAGACTGAGGAAATTGGAAGCAGAAGTTAGAACTTGGATGAAAAATAACATTTCTCAAGACAACAAAATAAGCCTGTCCAAAACTTCTGAAATAAGCACTATATTAAAAATTGAGACACAAAAAAGCATAACATTTTAAGAACTGCAATTTAAAAAAAGTAGTTTATTTTTCAAGTATATTTTATTGATTATTTGTTTTACTATTGTCCTTTACAGCCCAATTGATTTCAAGTCCCTTTACTGCAGGTGTTGTAATGCAGAGACTAGTGGGGACTAGTTTCCTGGAAAGGCTGCAAACATGAAACAGACGTGAAAGACGGCACAAAGGGAAAGAAATTATTGCATCCATTATAAGTATCTGGAAAAGGGCAGACAGACTGATTTGCCCAAAGTTACCTAAAATTTTTAGCAGAGCTCAGACAGAATCTGAACTTTCCAATATGAGGACTGATGAATTATTTTAACTCGTCTGGTTCCTTCCCATGAAAGGATCTGCTGTGACAACAAGCCACCTTGATGTCCAAATTCTTGTCTTCTGAATGTGAATTTTTCCTGTGACTAGGCAAGTAGCAAACCTGCTCTCCACCCAAGGCCCATGCCCTCTCCTCTCCACCTTCTCTCCCACAGAAAGGCTCTCTTTACCCTGTGCCTTCAACCCATGCCCTGCATGTTCCTTTCTCACAGCCTGACAGAAAAAAAAAGTCAGAAAGAAAATCACAAAGGATGTAAAAAATATTGAAGACTGTGAATTACCTTGGAGTTACCTTGCTTCCTTACAGGGCTGCTGTTTCATACCACACCTAGTCATTAGAATCAATAATTGTCCTGCAGTTAATGTTTGAGCTGCTGAATCTCTGAGGGCAAGTCTGAGGAACTATAAACTGGATAAGCACAGACAGACATCACCAACCTGTGCAAAGGTGATTCACACAGCTGAAAGAAAGAAGCATTTTTAGAGCAAAATAAGCTTTTCATGTTACAGGTAAGGGATGATCTAACTGACATTTCACTGAAAGATTTTAAAAGCTGAAGCGGGGGTTCTGCTAGAGGATTTTCAGGCAGTGTTAGGAACTCAGCTGTCCCTGTAAAATGGATGACTGCTGTGCTAAGGCTTAGTCTGGTTTATATTTGATTTGGATCAATTTCCTCTGTTTTCTCTTTGCTGAATTTGAACATCTGAAATCAATCAACTAAAGAAAATAATATTTTTTTCCATGGAACCAAATACTTGTGATTGTTACTGATCTTTTATCTCTGGGAATATTCTTTGTTCTCCGAATGTTTATTATTGAAAGTCACTGGAATATTTGTATGATGGTTATCCTAGAGATTTCTCTTCAGTCATGGGAAGCGTGAGAGATTATTAGGGATATAGCACTGAGATGAAGCTAAGAAATGAAGGAGAAAATATGGCTCCAGTCCTCAATCCAGATCTCAAGCTGCTTTTAGTTAAGCTGATGCTATTCTAATCCTGAAACTGCCTGTTACTGAAAACTTTTAAATGAGCCTATATATACAGGAACTCTGTTCTGAGTGACAGAGGAGTATGGATTTTGGGGTTTCAGTCCTTGGCAGTGAGGTGGCTCATGAGACTTGGTAACAGTTTCCACCCAAAAAGAAATGTTCAAGGACTGATCAAAACTTGCAAAAGGCGCCATAAATGATATGACATAAGGAAATGATGTTTATATTCAAAGAGAAGGGAACATCAAAGGCAGTTGTCATGCAAACTGTGAAATGGCTGAATTTCCACTGCTGCATTTGGTAGTTGGATCTGGATAGAAGAACCTGGCCATGACACAGCCACATTTAGCAATTAATTTGACAGCATTTTCTGTCCCCAAAAGTAAAGTGGGATGTTTCCCCTGAAAAATTCTCTTCCCCCGGTAGGCCTTGCTGCTTCTTTTTTCCCTGAATCCAGACCATGATACCCCAGACCACCCCATACTGTTTTCTCCCTGTTTTCATGGCCTCCCCCAATACTTTGAGCTCCCTGGTGTTCCTCCACCACTGGCTGTCAAAGGGGCACTTCCAGCCATGCCTCCTCCAGAGGGACAGACAAAACCCTGCAGGGAGCCCTGGGCACAGACTGCTGCCTTACAGGATGGACAGGGAACACCTCGGGCACTCTGTCCCACCTTCTGCCACAAATTAATAAGGAATTCATTTCTTGAAGTTCCCACATGGCTACTAAGTGCAGCAGGAACAGGCCAATATATTCAGGAGAGGGTGGCAGGAGGGGAGGGGAGGGGTTGTATAGGCAGAGGAACAGAAAGAATTTTCATTGACTGTGTAACCGGAATATCAGCAACAGTTTTGGTTTGAGGTTCAAGGGGTATTCTCCTTCTCTCTGCCCTGCCTGTGCCACCTCCTCTGGCTCCAGGAGGTCTGTGAAGGACCCACTAAGGAGGCATCACAGCCAAGCATCTACAGGGAGCTCAATTTCAGCCCTTGTCTTCTGACAAATTTAATGATTTTTCTGATCACTTCTGGTTTCAAAAGTGCATCATATTATTTTCCAGTACTCACACAGTTATCCAAGGAAAGAGCCCAGTATTTCAAAGGCTGTAATTGCACACACAGTATAACGCAGCTCAGAATGGGATTTGGAAGATAAACTCCTGTGGCAAGTCCTAGAATGGGTGCTCAAAAGAACAGCAGTGTGGGTAGCAGTTTCTGTATTTACAGGTCCCCTTTTTGTTCAGCCATTGAGGAAAAAAAAGAAGGGGGGAAATGGGGTGATGGGAAGCACAAGCAGGATGGCATCTGGAGGGAGCTGTGCCTCCACACTGTGTTCTCCCCACTGGGGGCCTCCTTGGGGCAGATCTGTGGAAGGATTTCTGTAGGTGTGAGCCATGTAACATGAAGCACCACTGAAGATGGCAGCACTATATGCCACCTTCACCTCCTTCCAGAACTGGCCCCATCCTCATTGTAAAAATCTGGAGGCCGTGAGTAAGCAGGATAGCATTTTGCAAAAGCCATCTAATTTTCAGGAGGATGTAACATAAACTGTGGTCGTGTGTGCTCAACATTTCTTTGAAATTTGAGGCAGAGAGTGCTCCTTGGACTTGGAAATTTTGTTTCCAGTAGCTATGTAGTGCAGACACCTTAGGCTTCCTTTGCCTCTGCAATCTGCAGGAAATTTTTGAATTTGAATTTTTGGAACTAGAAGACAGACACCTCATGACATTCTCTGCAAGACTTTTGTGCTGTGGTTATAGTATTTCCTGTGAACATCTCATTGCTTTCAGTAAAGCAGAAATGGAAGTGGCTTCTCAGTACAGACTCATTGTAAACAACGTGGTTGCACGGCTTTTTGGTGCTGGGTTCAATCTTCGAGAGCTCTTTGGGAATCTCACATATTGCCTCTCTTGAACCATTAGGCAGAACCTGATGGGCACAGCCTTCCTTGGCAGCCCAGGGGTACCAGTGCTCTCGTCTGTCCTGAGCAGATCTGCAGCTGCTCCTTGGGGACCGACTCCTCAGCTCTCTCCTTGCAGCCTCAGGAAACCTCAGCCTTGGTGTGCAAACAGCCTGGGCCAGCTCTGTGGGGCTAAAGTGACTGTCATTTCTTTGCAGGAGCTGAAGCAAAGCATATTCCAGTATGCTTAAGCTGTGTGGACTTCAGTTTCTGCTTCTCCTTCACTCGGTGAGTTACAGGTTTTCCTTTGTTTATCTGTGAGCAAATGGCAAAGGTTGCCTGGAGCCTCTGAGCTCTAATCCATGGGTGTGCCAGCCCGCAGGTCAGGCAGCCCTGGTGCTGTAACTCTGGGTGTGTCCCCAGCACAGGTGTGTGGCCCCCGCAGCAAGTCAAGAACACATCTCAGTCAATGGGGGAATAAAAACTTCAAAAAGACTAGAAAGCACCAATTTACTCGTTTTCCCTCTTCTACTTCCTCTTTAGATATCACTGTTTCCAAAACATGAATTTTGTGCTAGAAAAGATTTAAACATACTGCAACAAATCACCAAAGAGTGGAAACATCAGTATCATGAGTTCTGCATTATAATCCATACATGTGCTGACATATTAAATGTATTTTAAGACCTATAATGCCTCATAGCTTAAACTGTGCATGTTAATTTTGTATCCTTATTATTTGATTCCTGTGAATCCCATTTCAGAGGATTTTCTGGAACTGAAATGTATTAATTATGTTCTTTATGTACCTTATGTATTAAATGCAATAGATTTACTGATGTTTGTAAAGGTTACAGCAGTGGTGACTTCTACTTCACAATGAAAATTAACAGAAAATATTGAAAAAATGCATGAAATTCAAGTTTAATAAAAAAAATGCCTCAGAATATGGGGACCTTGAGGGGTGCTTCATGAGCACCTCCTTTTCCCTTCCCATTTCACAAGCTGCTCCTTGTGGCAGTGCTGGCCCCTCCATGAAGCCAATCTGCAAGCCTTATAGCCATCTTCAGAAGATATACCAATGCATATGGACCAAGAGGTAAAGCCTCTTTCCCTTTCAAGCTCCTGAACAGTGATTCATGTGGTAGAAATATGTTTGGAAATATTTATGGTCCACATAAAGTAATTTTAATCAACAGAAGTGATATCGCTTACTTGTTTCACAGGCTGCACTTTGAACCTGTTGAGTTTTATAGCATCAGCCTTTGTTCCTCCATAGCAGGGAACATGATAAAGCAAAATCTGTCCATAAAAGAGACCCAGGAGCAGCCTGCAGGAGCCAGGCTGTGCCAGCCTCTGTGACATGGGAATAGCTGTAGCAGGTCAGGCTCAGGGTCCTGATATCTGGTCCTTGGCGAAGCCAGCAGTCAGCATTTTGCAAAAATATTAAAAAGGTAGCTGCAAAGTGCATTTTCCTGGATGCATAACTATAAGATTGCATTTGTTGATATTCTCCTGCTCACACTATTATTCACTACCATCCTTCCCTCTCCTTCCCCAGCTCTCTGCTTTTCCCATTTTCAAAAGGAGTCACAAAGCCTTATAGGCAAGTGGGATGGCATCTGTGGCTATTATTAAGAACAATATGGAATTATTGAAACACAACTTGTGACATACACGCACAGAGCAGTGCTTTAGGGTGAATTGTGCTGAACTTTGCTGTGTTTTTGTCATAGGCAGAATTAAGTTTTCCCTTGGTAATATGCAGACTGCTTTTCTGTGAGAAACTGAATAGCTGTCCCAGCAGCAATAGGATCAAATCCAGAGGAAAAGTCAGGCAGCAGAGAACACACACTCAAATCTGTGGTGTGATGGACAGGGTGGCAATGGTACTCTAAGTCTGTAAAGCAAAATAAATTAATTTTTACTATTGAAGAAAAGAAACTTTACTTGTTCAGCCAAATAATGGAGCCCTTATTCTGACAGGCAGACACTCAGTGTTGTCTAGATAGGTGGTGAAGACAGGGGAATTGGGGAATCTTGGTCTTTCCTTTGAAGAAACAGGTTGATTATCTGAACCATAGTGTGAATTGTCTTGTGTGCACAGCCTGCCCTGAGAGGCTCAATTTTGCTTTGTTTCTTTTGTTTGAAAGCAAGAACAGCCCTGAAATGTTAGGGCAGGAGTGTGGAGGTCTTTGGGCACTGGGGAGTGTGAGGTTAAAAAACTCATAAAAATTTGGCGGTAAAAACCCATGATGTTAGGACATTGCTAGCCCTTAGGAGGACAGAGGCTGAGACAGATTTGTGTGACAGATTTGCCAGCAGGTAAAAGCCAAAGATCTGAAGGTCACACTTGCTCTCTCTGTGGCTTGCATTCACATGCAATTGATGTGAAGGCACAGGCTCAAGTGGCTTGCCCAGATGGCTGTGGTGTGAGGAGGATGCTGTAGGAACCCAGAGAGGGCCGCCTTATTCCCATACCTAAAAGATTTGATTTACTGGGGAAATTACAAGGGGTGCAGCCACAGCTCCTTCTCATCCCCAGGTGTGATGTTTGATTTCCAGACACACTTCTTTTCACAGGGCTTTGTGGTTCTTGGATAAGTCATGGATGGTTCTGCTGGGGACACAGGGGAGATCCAGCAATGATTTTATGAATTCCCTTTTGCTCTTAGTCTACTTTAATCTATTTTCTTCTTCTGTTTGCTCTTGAAGGTAGATCCAATCTCATTTAATTATGTAGTGGCCAGAAAAGGGCAGGGCACAAGCCTTTGTTCTCTAATTAATTAATAAATCTCACTGCTTTTAAAAATTATGTATGCTAAAGAGATGTTCAGGGCAAGCCTGGAAGAGTCTCTGCCCTTGTACTGTAGCAGAAGAGCTCAAGGAGGCTCAGGGGTGGGGAGCTGCTGTTTGTGTGTGGCGGCAGCAGACATCCCGCACGTGCTTTCCTCCATCCCTCTCTCCCTCTCTCTCTCACAGGCCATGTGGCTTGGTCTGGAGGGCCTGAGTGTAACTGGGCCTCTGAAGGACATGGACTTCTCCGTGCAGGAAGGAGGAGGTCCACGCATCCTTCACCAGGTAACCAAGCGTCTCGTGTTGTCCACTCTGGTCAAGCACCCCACAGCCTGCACACAGACACCACATGTGAAGGGCTGTCTCTGTGCTGGTGGGAAGAACAGTCCCTCAAGGGGATCCAAAATTAATTTTTAATTCCTCTCTCTGGGAATTCAAGAGGCTACATGCAAAGAGCAGGAGACAACCCCCTCTCAAACACATATTTAAGAGGATATCCTAAGACAGGGATTAATAAAATCAACATTCCTGGAGAATTTCTTTCCATGTAACTTGTGTCATCATTTTCCTTTGACTCTGAGGTTTTCCTCCAAAGCCATAACCACAGAAGGACAGATCCAGCTCCCAGGCAAATGGAGGATGTGTGTCATTTTTTTCCATTCCCATGCTCAGACAAAGCCTGTCCTAAGCAGACATTTGCTTTGGAAACAAACTGAAGTCGGGATTTCTTGCAGCATTCAGGAAACAATGTGAAAACTCCTCTGCTGAGGATCAGAAAAGAGCAGACTTGTTTGAGCAGACTCTTGGAATATCATTCTCCCAGCCAAACACATTCCCGGCAATAGATTTTAAAAGTCACAAAAGCATGAAATTATTTTTATTATGGTGAAAATGCTGAAAAGAATGATAATTTTTCCCTCTGTTTTTGATTTGTTTTTTTTTTTTTCCATTGTAGTTCAAACTTGAGCCACCTGCTGTGAGTTTCAGAACATCTGGTGAAAAAGCTGGAATTATTGACATTGAGCCGAGGACAGGCATCCTGTATATCAATGGGTCTCTGGACTGGGAGACCCAACAAGTGCACAAGCTGCAGGTAAAATCTCAATGAAAAATAGGAAGGGAGAAGTATTCACATTCATCCTCTTTGGGTATACCTGGTAGTAAGAGAAATCGGTTGGAATTTGGAATGCTTTATTTTGCCCATGTTTACAGGCAGGTTTTTCATTTTAATACCAAGATTTACTGGAAGACATACGGCTTGGTAGCTCTCAAAGACTGAACAGGAAAATGCTTCTTAGCAGAGGAAGGCTATGTTCAGAAAACAAAAATTGTGATGCCAACACAACCCTTTAGCTCTCCTAATATGAGGGGAATACTTGACTGGAAGTAAAATCTAACCTCATGAATGAGCTTTTCTTGTTATCCCTGAAGGCTGATAGGGTGAATTTTATTTCTGGAGTGGAAAAATGAACTATTGTAATAATTTAGAAAGCTTACAACATACACAGTGACCAACTGAGATCAGCTCAGTTGGTTAGAGCATGGTGCTAATAATGCCAGGGTTTGATCCTTGTATGGGCTATTCACTTCAGGGTTGGACTTAATGATCCTTGTGGGTCACTTCCAACTCGGAATATTCTGTGACTCTGTGAAACAATGTGAGTGAAAGACATTTAGGCAGGGAGGCACAGATCTAACCTCTGTCAGATAACAGCAGAAAGCTGTTGGGCAGATGTTGGACTCTAAGAGAGGAAAAGCTCTGTGTGTTTGTCCTGGAGCTATTATACCTTTTTCATGAGGATCTCACTAGTGCAAACGCTGTTGGGAATGGAGCAGTGGATGGGCAGTCTTTGGGTCTCAGCGCATCCTTGTCCTCTTAAACCATGTCAGAAATGGTGCTGTCTTTTTCTGAGGCAGTAGCAGCTGAGAAAAAAATGATCATGAGAGGATCAGTATCTGAACAGACAAAGAACATGATGATTTTTTTAGCCAGCCTTAGCAGTCTTTCTAAAGTCTATCACTTCAGGTTTCATGGTTTCACATTCTCAGCTCTCAAGCACCCTTGGATTGGAAGTAGAGAGGGCAATTTCCTAGCCCCAGAAGTTAATAACCCAAAGTGTGTGAATCATTTATAGACAAAAAGTGATGACAGAATGAAAAAGTTATGCTTGGTTAGGCATAAATAATCATGATTTTATCTATTATGTGCAAACAAAATTAAGTGTGACAGATAGAATATATTCTTGGTGATTTAAAGTTAAAGAAGGCTGGAAAATAAGTCAAATTGTGTAGAAAAAAAAGTCATTAGGATTAAGAATTCTTTTTTCTTTACTAACCCTTATATCAGACTATTTTTCTGATTTATATTATAATATCAATTAGTTATAAATGTAATATCATGTTGGGTGTTCTCCTTGTTTGCTAGAAAGTACATATTGCTTTTTAAAGAAAAACATGAATTTAAGGCTGTGCAAAAATACGAGTAGTCTACTGAAACGGGAAGTGGGAAATTGTCCTCTGAAAAGTGTCATCAGAAGCAGGAGCAGGTTATTTTGTTTTGTTGGCATTATATACTGTGACAAATTTTTGTCAGGGAGCTACAGTGGCAAATTTGTCCTGTTATGTGGAGCTACCGAGTGGTGGCTCTCGCCAGATTTGCATGACAGTAAGAGTGACCTGGCATCTGACACCTTGATTTTAATTTATGCCTTTTAACCCGTTTGCATGAAAATATTTACTTGCTGTTCCTTCTTTTTTCAAATCAGGTGGAAAGTCTGGATGAGAGTGGAGAGAGAGTTAAAGGTCCATATGCTGTTACAATACATGTGGAGGATGTCAATGACAACCCCCCAGAATTTAACCAGACAAAGTACTACGGAGTAGTGAGGCAGAACTCTCGTCCAGGTAATTGCCACCATAATTAAATATTATCTTTAATAGGAAGGTAGGTAAATTAAGCTGGAAGGTAAAGTGGTTGCTATACAAGCTGGAAAAAGATCAGTTTTTCTTCTCACTGGACTGTACAAAATAAGAATGAAAGCTTCTATAATATAATGAAAGGGCAAAGAGGTGGCCACTATGTGTGTAAAAGGTGGCCACTATGTGGTGTAAAAGGATGAGTGCAATCAGAAATATTTTTTAGTACTTACTCTTTGCAAGTGTCATTTAACAGACAAATATTGCTGCTCTGTCCATTGCTCTGGAAAAAAAAAACAAAACACCAGAAAACAACAAAACTTTATGCTAGAAGGGGTTTAAAATTTAAAGGCTACCAAAGACTATACAGAAAGAGAAGGCTAAGACTATCTGAGTCTTTACATATCAGTGAAAGAAAGTGCCAGGGCGGATATAGGGTATGTGCTTACCATGAGTGATGCTTCTCAGAACATGGGCTATACCTCAACATTTAGAAGAGAGTCTTGGATTGTGAATTGCAGTGATCCAGACAAAAAGTCATGCAAGTATCAAAGAGCAGTAAGTTGAGACTTACATCTTGGAAATAAAATAAAGGACTCATAGAGTTGTTATTGCTGTGGCTATGGACTCAAGAAAAAGCTTTTGCTAAATAATATGCATATAAACCTTCATGGAGTCAGAAAATTATTCTGAAACATATTACTGTATATTCTTCAGTGCATCCAAGTCAAAAAGATTTTGAATGCAGCCCTGGTTTGCAAAAGGTAAAAGTTGACTTACATTACTGGGTATTTCCTAATTTTTTTTTTCACTATATTATTGTTCTTTTATTGTGTCTGTGTTGCAGGTCATGCACCATTTTTATCAAGGTTCTTTGGGTTTCACTGATTTGTGTAGGAACTGCAAAGTGGCCTTAAGGAGAGATCCCATTGAGCTGAATTCTGGGTTCAGGCACTCTTGCGTGATAGATAGCTCTCTGCTGATTTAACTCTGTCGCCTTCTTCACCAGCTGGTCACCACACCTGTTGTGATCCTACTAAGCAGAGCTGGTGGAGGGCTGACTGTGGGATGGCATACAGCAGTGTAACCTCTGCACATGGCTTCCCATGGGAGATGCATTATGGAACAATGGCAGCTCCCCATAAGTTGCTTTCCTGGTTTGAGAGCTCTGCTCAAATGGATTATGTGTTAAGGTTCAGTCTCTTCTCTTACCACTGTTTCTTCTCCAATCAAAACAGGCAAGCCTTTCATGTATGTCCATGCCACTGACCGTGATGATCCTACAACTCTCCATGCACAGCTGTCTTACAGCATTCTCCATCATTTTCCCAACCCTTATGCAGAAATGCTTTTCCAGATTGATAATGCAACCGGAGCAATCTCACCAAGCAGGAAAGGTACGTAAAAAGATTCTTGATTGCTAAGAGCAAGCATGAGTTCTGGGATATGTGTAGGAACAATACAGCAACATGGGTCTGATGCTATATTGTGAATAAATGTAGTCAGTGGGACATACTCCACTAAAGCCCTAGTTTTGGGGGACTCGTGTTTTGTCCCACCAAATTCAAGGGAAGCTAGCAGAAATGGAGATTGTGATCTAAAAGTACACTGAGAAGAGAGATAGATCCTCTGGCCTTCAGGACTCCACTATGTCTTATCTTGGAATTAATTCTCTGCCATGAAATCTAGAAACCCAAAAGCAGTAATATGAAAAATGCAGAGAAAACTCAGCTGGACATGTGATCCCAACTGAATTGCAATGATTAGAAACTCCCATCTATTCTGCTGGGCTGAACAAGTGCCTGACTGGGTCTAGGGCTGTTCAGGGATGCCTCTGCACAAAATGAGACCACAGCACAGAGGCCCCATATGATTCCATGCACATGAGGCTATGCTGTTCAGACAACCCAGAGGAAGTGGCTTGCTGAGGTTTGTCCCAAAGGACCATCTAAGGAGTAAGTCTGAGCCAGTTAAAGAACCATAGTGCATGTAGGAGGCAATGGGCAGATGAACAGCCCCCACAGCCTCTGTGTCATTTCTCTTGACTCTTTGCTCTGTCTCTAGGCTCTTCTTACTTGGATCCTCAAAAGCAGGACAACTTCATACTTGTTGTCTCCGTGAAGGACATGGCAGGGACGACAGCGAATGCTTTCACCAGCAGTGTTGATGTGAGCATCACTGTGAAGGAGAGCCTGTGGAAAGCTCCCCCCACCATCTACATCAAAGAGAACTCAACCCAGGTCCACCCTGTCAACATCAGTAAGGTAGGGTCCTTGACCACACTCCATGAACTTCTCCTTGTACCACACAATTGTTTCCTCACAACTAACTGTGAAGTCGTCCCCGCTGCATCCAACACCAGGTTCTTCAGAAGGACTTTGACACCTCCCAGTCATTTTTTTAATATGGCATCCTTTGGAAATGATTTTTAGTGGAGGTCTCATTGATTTTTTGTTAGCACAAAAGTTAATAGTTTGGAGGTGACTGAGATACAGTCAATACCAACACTAGAGTGACTGAACTTTGCCTTTCAGTTTGGGACCAAAATCCAGTTATGGGTCCTCCAGGCTTTGAGCAAACCAAGAGATTTTTGGAGCTTATTTTGTGGTTAGTTTCTTCCACCTGCAGAAGAGCAGGGCAGGGGACCAGCTCCACAACAGCCCTGCTGTGGACAGTCCCTTCACACTCAGGGACGCCTGCTGTGACTGGTTTTGTATCATGCAGCACAACTGCTACACCAAAAGTACCTTGAAAGGACTGAAATACCCTCCTTCATTACCATCCTGCATTCCCAATATTCCTCTTTTCACAGTTCAAGCACAAAATATTTTGCTGATAACTGCAGACCAATAGCAGTGTATACATGAGTACATATTAACCAACAAGCTAACAGCCTTTCAGAAATATTTGACTTTGAAAAATGCCTTAGCAGTGACACCCCTAATGCTGTCATCCCTTGAACATGGGAGGATTCCATGGATCCTGTTCACAAGAGTAACTGGCTTGGTGCTATTCTCAGTGGCAGCCCAAGGAAATACAGAATGAAACCAGGTAGAAAGAAGACTAACATGTAAGGATGCACCCATTTTGGGGTCACTTGTATATACATTTCATTTGGGAGCCAATGTCATGTTGATTCTGCCTAGGGGAAAATGAAATGTAGCTGCTGCTATATAGAACATAAATGTTAATACTGAATCCATTAACTAAACAGTCTGTGTATTTAATTTCATTTTAAATGTGCAGCACCCCAAAAAAGAGCTCTTCTCATGAGCGTTGATGAATGTAAAGAGTGTGCATGCACCTATTTACAGATAGGTACCAGCTATTTGTTTGCACAGAATCACAGAATCATAGAATATGCTGTATTGGAAGAGACCCATCAGGATCATCGAGTCCAACTTCTGGCCCTGCACAGGACACCCCAAGAGTGACACCATGTTCCTGAGAGCATTGCCCAAATGCTTCTTGAACTAATGAAAGCTTAGTACTGTGACCACTTCACTGGGAATCCTGTTTCAGTGCCCAGGAACCCTCTGGATGTAAAACCTTTTCTTGATATCTAACATAGACCTCCCCCAGCTGAGCTTCCTCAAGTCCTGCCCCTGGTCATGAGAGTGAAGAGGTCAATCCCACCCCTCTGCCTCCCATCATGAGGATGTTGAGGTCTCCCCTCAGTCTCCTCCAGGCTGAACAAATCAAGTGTCCTCAACTGCTGCTACTAAGGCTTCCCTTCCAAACCCTTCACCATCCTTGTGGCCCTCCTTTGGACACTCTGTAATAGCTTAATGCCTTTTTTATAATGTTGTGCCCAAAGCTGCACACAACATTCAAGGTAAGGCTGCCCCAGCTCAGAGCAGAGCAGGACAATCCCCTCCTTGCCTGGCTGGTGATGCTGTGCCTGATGACCCCAGACAGGGCTGGCCCTCCTGGCTGCCAGGGCACTGCTGGCTCACATTCACCTTTCCACTGACCAGGACCCCCAGGTCCCTTTCTGTGGCACTGCACTCCAGCCTCTCGTTCCCCAGGCTGTCCGTACATCCAGGACTGCCCCATCCCAGGTGCAGAATCTGGCACTTTGTTACAACTTCATACAGTTGATGACTGCCCATATCTATAATTTATCAAGGTCTTTCTGCAGGGCCTCTCTGTCCTGGAAGGAGTTGGCAGCTTCTTCTAATTTAGTGCTGTTTCGTTGTTCCATTTCTCTGAACGAAATAAGACCAAGCAACAGGCAGGGATAGAGAGTGCTAGGAGAGGAAATCATTAGTATCAAGATATTAAAACAAAAATAATGCTTTTTTTCCTCATAATGACTCTTTATCTCCACATCACCAAATCCTTTTATAAAAAGGTATGTGTTGTATCCCATCTGGACAGATGGAGAAACTGTGGCAAAGTGGCTTCAGCACACAATTCAGAGAGCAGAGGTGTATTATCAGTCTGATTTTCTGCAGTTCATCCTGAGAGCCCGCCAAACTGTTAATTTTCTGGTTTATGAAGCTAACAGGAATGCAGTTGTTTCTGTTTGTGGTCCAGAAATAATCCCTGTTAAATCTCACTCTACACTTCTAACTTCCTATCCTGATTTATTTTTTGGGGTTTTTTTTAGGTGCAGTCAAATGAACCAGATGTAATTTATGGCATTTTTGAAAAAGAAAAGCTGCCAAGGCTTCCATTTTCCATCAGTGAGAATGGGGATATTTATGTGACCCAACCATTGGACAGGGAAGAAAAGGATGCTGTAAGTAAACACATAAAGCTTCACTGATGGCAGAGAGCACAGCAGGAAGCTGATTATTGGTGTGGGAGTAAATATGACAAAGCTCAACAGAATGGAAGGGAGATGGGGAAGGGGAGAATAGATAAAAGTTTTGTGTCTTGTCACTTCTGTTTGGAAATGATGTGATATATGTGAAAGTTCATCCACCTATTATACTGTAAACAGGCTTCAGGTCCTTACCCTAGAGAGGGTCTGGCAGTAGCAATCCCTGCCCACAGCATATGTACAATGCACAGCATGGACCAGCTATGGCAGGGCTGTAGGTGCATGAGTAAGAGACAGGCAGTGGAGTGAAGGAGATCTGGAGGTTTCAGATCTACTTCAGACCTTGGGGACCACAGATTTTAAAATCCTTTGAGAACTCAGCCCTCAGAAGCTAAAGGGTGATGGAAGAGCTCTGATTTAAACAGAAAACACTGAGCAAACTCATGAGAGGATATTTCATATTCCTGTAGTTAGATACTAAGATGCAAAATATTGTCACAGTGGACATTCAAACCATCTAATTGCCATATTCTTGTTGCAGTATACATTCTATGTGGTGTCAAAAGATAACACAGGAGAACTGGTGGAGAAGCCTTTGCAAATTCACATTATTGTGGAAGACATCAATGACAATCCTCCTGTGTGTCAGCAGGACCTCACCATAATTGAAGTTCAAGAAAATGAAATTGGAGGTAAGAAAAGAACTTCTGTTAATTTATACGCCTCACTGTATTCATGCTGTTTCCAGCTGTGTGTGAATGAAGCTAAAAAATCTGATCCCAAGGATTAAAACATGACTGTCCCAGGGAAATGTTTTCCTGTGCAAATAGCCCTCCTGTTTTCCCTTCAATAATTCCTATGGAAAGGATTTCAAGAACCTGAGAAGGACAGACACAAAACACCTACTTTAAAAATGCTGTTTTATTTAAAATATAAAACTGCATTTTGCCACAACCACAGATTTGGATAACTGCTTAGACTGTGTAAAGAAAAACACCTCTTTTATTACCAGTACAAGAAATACTGTTCTTAAAGTGGTATGAGCCCATTTTCCCTCATCCAGCTGCAGCTCCAGCATAAAGCCTCTGACTTCAATGGACCATTACCAAAATCCTCCAATGTATTGACATCAGTTATTTTGTTTCAGGACTGAAGAGTCTTCTGTTAGTCTTTTGGACTGCCCTGACCCCAAACCAGTATGTTGGGAGGCTAAAGCAAAAACTCCCAATAGTGAAAAGATTGCATGTCCATTAAAGTGTTTTCCATACAGCTTTATTTTTATTGGCCCTCTACCCTTTGCACTGGCATCACTGTTGTCACTGTGCACTTCTGTGGAGCCACTGCACTCTGTCTGATTCCCATCTCTGCTCTGCTACAGGGAGTAGTATCGGCACCGTGTTTGCTACGGACATGGATCAGGAGGACAGCCTTAACTCTCGTCTGCATTTCCAAATCCAAAGTCAGGAACCTGAATTCCCCACAAATAATCTCTTCTATATTCAGCAAGACACCGGGACTTTGCAGTTAACTGGCCGTTCCTTAAGCAAGCGTGAATCAGCCAAGTATTTCTTGAAGGTCCTGGTGACAGATCCTCGTAAGTAATGCCTGCTGTTACACTTTGTTACACTCTGTCTGCACTGGCAGGACTTGTATTTAGTGTCTAAGGGATGTGGGGAGACAAGAAGGATTTGCTGAATAGGCAGTAGCACTTAGAGCTGTCTTGCTCTGGCATGGTACTTGTCCTGTTCTTGAGATGCAGGGAGATGAATCATGAATCATAATGCAAGCATGGAAGGGAACCAGCTCTAGGACAGAGTGTGGCTAAATTGGGAAGCTTGTTAACAAGTACTTCAGAATGAGATTTCCTTCCACAGGGGGAAAAAAATGAAGAGATCATGATTGTGGTTTTCCCCAGATCTTTCAAAGGGACTTAACTGGAAAAAAAAATCAAGAAATTAAACACAGCTGCTCAGACAGTCCAGATAATATTTTAAAACATTAAGAGAATAGTAAGCTGAAAAAAACTTTAAAAATTATCTTGTCCCTTATGTAAATTGTCATGAGTCCTTTGTGATTCACTGAATGGAAAGGAAATCAAACTTCATACCAAAGCTTAAAGCTTTGTGCTGGAATCCCTACAGTCAGGCAAAACTTGTGCATGAAGGAACTGGCACGGAAAGATGTCTGTAAATGAAATGGTATCATTTTGGCAGATGATGGAAAACCTTCCAGAGGGATAAAGCTGGTGATTTGTCTTGAATGCTTATTTGAACTCCATCCAAACAATGTTGTTTAGAAGTTTCCTTAACTTTCAGCTCATGAAGCATGTTCGTAAAACACTAAAATCCATCTATATATGGGTATATTATGCTTCTAAAATCACGACCTGCCATTGGTTTGGGTGCCCCTGCTCAGGAAGTGATTAGATTTACATGAATCTGAAATCTGCCTGTAACAAAACTGGGGGTGCTGCCTGATGACCAAGAGGACAAGGGAGCGTTAACAACCCAGGGCTTACTTTTTGACATGGAAAAGTTATACTGAGACAGCTAACACAATTCATAGCTGTCATCATCCTGGAAAACAAATATGGTTTTAAAAAGTGAGGGAAATGAAACAGGATGGGACAGTGCTGGAGAAATGGGGAAGATCAATGGTAAAAAGTGAGGTTGTCATTGACTAAGAGATATCTGAGATAAGTGTTTCTCTCAATTTAGTGCTTAGATTGGGCAATCTGGCAATCTCACTTTTGCTCCCAGGGAACCCTTCTGGAGGAGAGTTATTTTTGGCAGAAAGGCTGGTGTGATGTTGTTTGTCTCTTTCCATGCAGAATTTGAAACAATCTGTAATGTGGAAGTACACGTCATCGACATCAATGATCAAATTCCCATCTTTAACAATTCAGATGTGAGTACTTTTAACACCATTTTGGATGTTCCAATAACTTATGACAAGGATTTGAGCATGCCTTCAATGTTTATAGGATGTCAGCAGGAAACTAGCCCTTTACAGACAAAGTAATAGAGTTAATACTAGTAAAAATAAAGGTAAAATATTGCTGCAAGTCTGCATATCAGGTCTATCTAGACAGTGAGCAATGGGACAGATTAACAGCTAATTATGAAATTTAAGGTAATTTGCTCAGTGGAAAACTGTGTACAGAAAGAAATTTTTCTATTAAATTAGTTTATTCCAGAAGTGCAAGTTCTGAAGGGAAATGGGGAAGAAAAGGCTTTAAAATTAATCAAACAGCTAAATGGAAAAAAATGCTGGTGTCTCCCAAGTACCTTACCAAATACAGCACTAGTGTACCCAAAATAGCCAGAAGATAAATGGGAATCAAAAGTCCTGTGTGGTTTGGCCAGAAAGAGTGGTCCAATGATCCATGCCCAAACCTGATTTGGGGATGGGTGTCAGGCTCCTGCCCTTTCTCTGGTGGAGGTGCTGGCATCTGGCAGAGACCTGCAGACATTTCATGACTTCTGCCTGATGGCCCAGGCCTCCTGGCAGACACTGGAATGGCTGAGGTACTTACACAGAGGTGTCCCAGCTCCCACCACTCCTGCAGGCCCTGTAGGTGGTGGGCTCAGGAGACCTGTCTGGCCTGTCAGGCACAGTTGTCCTTTCAAGGAAGCTGTGTTGGTGTTTGGGCCTTGCAGACTGTATTGCCCATCTCTCAGCTGATGGCAATGGCAGCCCAGTCTCATGCAGACAAGGCGCCTGCAGAGCAGGTTTTACACCATCTCACCTCAAGGTCTTGGTCCAGGACCTGGTCTCAAGGTGAGGCTTCTGGGCAAGGACATGCATTAAACAGTCAGAGGAGCTGGGATGCCAATGTGGCAACAACCTATGGTGCACGAAGCAATCAAATATTTAACACTGAGTGGCCAGGGTGCTCACAGGGTAGAGAGAAGCTGTACTATCCCTTCTGCATGATCATGGGCTGGTTTTCACAGCGGAACTAAAGATTTGGGACTGGTGCTGTACTAGTGGCACTGACATAGATCCCATTACCTATGATAAATGTGTGGCTAAAAAGCTTCCCTCCTTTGTGTGGCTGCTGTGGATTAAAATAAATCCACACATGTGGGTCACAAGCTTGTGGTTGTGCTGAAATTCTTATCCACAAATGGTTGTGCTGAAGTTTTTATCCACAAACAGTATGTCATGTTTCAATGACACCTCTCTCTCTTCAGTATGGCAGTGTGACTCTGGCAGAAGATATCCCAATAGGAAGTCTGATATTAGAAATTGAAGCAACTGATGGAGATGAGCCTGCCACAGGGAGCTCCCTCATCATTTACCAAGTGAAGGAAGGTGATCCAAACAACACGTTCATCATAGAGACAGACTCTGAAACAAACCGAGGGTTCATCAGGATTAACAAGGTGAATAGATGGATTTATTCTTCTCCTTTAGTGTTACTTATTTGTTATACACAGTTATTGCCCTGTGGGATTTGTGAGGAGGTGAGGACTGGTGGTGGAGTAGGGACACCCTAAGCATGGTGCAGCCTGCAGGAGGCTCCGCTTTTGGACTCAGGCTCTGTGTCTGTGCAGTGCTCACACACACACCTACCCTCCTGCCTTTGCTGTGCCCTCACCACCACCAGCAGCTCCCTCCACTGGCTTTGCTGCTGGCTGCTTCTCCAGAAGAGCAGATTCTGGCCAATGAAGTAGGTCTTTATGCACCATAATGACAAAAAAAAAATACATTATTTGAGTGATTTTGCAGCAGCATTTCTGGACAAGAGAAAGCCAGCTAATGCTTCCATGGCTGTGGTGGTCGTGGTGGGCTGTGAAGGGGCAGATTCTCCTCCCTGCAGTTGCTCTGGCCATTAGTGGCCTTTGCAAAGCAAGGGGCAAGTGTAGCCAGCATGTCTCAATGTCAGCATGGAGATGTAGTTTGTTCCTGATGAGGGGAACATTAACTGTGGCCAAGCCAAGGACAGCGTGTGCTGCAGTAGGTGGCACTGCCCATATGCTGAATGCTGGAGACAGGAATATAAGGAACACTTTTTGCTGCATCCATGAATTTCAATAACGAAATCACTCTCCCTTTGAAGTGAACCTTCTCAAAGGTGCTTGGACTATGGCTCCAGAAAGCTACCACTCATTTTTCAAGGGGTGCTGTACTGTGTGCCTCCAGCTCATGTGCTGGCCAAGTGCAGGCAGAGGCAGCGTTTGGTGAACCATCGTCAGCATCAACATCAGCATCAGCCTCCTTTTTTCCCAAGGAGGAAGCTGTGAGAAACTCTGTGGTGTAACAACCCTTGTATGACTTTTGGCACCCGGAGGTCGTTTGAGGCCTTCTCATACAGAGCTATAAATACTATTTCTGTAAACAGGATATTGTTATTAAACTTAGTCGGGCAGGTGGCAACATTATTAGAAAATGCAGTTGCTGAGGAGGCCTCTAAACAGGCATATGGTTTCATTTAAATGGAACATTCCCAGTGTAATTTTCTCCTGTCAGCTCTCCTTTATTTTGCCTGCATTTGGGATGCAATCTCCTCCTTGAGAAGAGGGGGACATTTTAGTTTCTCATTGGAGCTCCCCACAGCAGCAGAGCCATTGCTTCACAAACCCTTTTTTTCCTAATTCATCTAGGCTCTTGATTTTGAAACAATGCCTGTGTACAACCTGGTGATCAATGCCACAAACCCCGAGCCGTTGGTGGAAGGCGTGAAGTACAACGCGAGCTCTCTCACCAAGTTAAAAGTTTCTGTGACAAATGTGGATGAGCCACCTGCTTTCCGGATGCCATTTTACGAAACAGAGGTGTCTGAAGACATTCCTGTCAATACCTTGGTCATGACAGTGGAGGCCTATGATCCTGAAGGGGATTCTGTACGGTAAAAAAGAGCGACTGTGATTAATTAATTCAATTTAGGGTTTAAAAAATGGTTCAAAAAGACATGCAAGGAAAAGATGCCTAATACTTGGCATGTGGAAAAATATTGCTTTTACAGAACTCCTATCTCCTAGTAGAAGGGGGATGTGTGGTGGGGTAGGGCCCAGCGACACTCCTGCAGCTGGGTAGTACTTTTCTGACCAGATTTGTCTCTGTACTGTGCCAAACATCAGCCTTGAAACAGGAAACCACAAGGGAAGCAGGCTAATTTATATGTCCAGGAAAAAGGTAGAGCTGGACTGAGAGTATCAAGGTTCCATGCCCACAATGCCTTTATCAAAAAAATAAGGCATATACTGTGTACCCCTGAACCAGTAGGAGAGTAGCTGCTTTTCACGTCACACAGGAAACAACCAAAATGCACAACCTCAACTTTTTCTCCACCAAAATACACATCCTCAAGTCTACAACTGAAAAAGAATTCATTTTCTTTCCTAGCTGTCAGAAATGATGCATCCCTTTCTGTTGTGGATGCAAAGCTCTGTGTAAGACAACTCCTGTGCTGTGTTGCACGGTGTAAATGTACCTTACACAGCAGAGTCAGATGGAGGAGTTATTTGTGACTTTTGCTGTACAATTCCCAGCTGGAACTCTGAACAGATCAGCTCAAAATAAACAGTTCTTGAAATTTAACTGAAATTCAGCAAAACACCAAGTGGTTAATGGAGTTGCACAATGTGACTCTTAGGCCTCCTGTGGGTTCTTATTCCCAGAGATTTCTCATCTGGCTTTCTACTTGCCCCTAACTTTTGGGAACTTATCATGTTTGGCCTTCTGTCAAACTAGTTTGAAAGGGAGCCACATAGTCCAGAAGCTCTGGGGGATGATGACAGAGACATATGACAGGAATTTAGCTATACATAAACCACATTTCTGCTAAAAATAGGTTAAAGAGCATAAAATAAAAAGTATGAAAAGTAGAAGATGTACAAGCATGCTCTTTCTAGTGTAAAGGGTACTGAAAGAACAAAAACATTGAATGAGAAGGTCTGGTTGCTTCTATTCAAGCAAGTGCCTGTGCTTTAACTGGGTAAACAATGATATAAATGCAATTATGTGGTGATGCTTAAAGCGCACTCTGTTCCAAGGCTGCCCCAATGGTAGTAACAGGCTTCTCCAGACTGCCAGAAGATAATCACCATGGTTCTCCTTGGGGTCCTGGTCCCTCCTCAATCCACAGAAGGGTTCCTGGCTGCACTGGCCCCTCTGTTCCCCAGCCCTTGGCTTGTGGCCCCATCAAAACCAACGTGTGGGAGATGTGATGGGGTGAGATGGACATGGGGCTTGGACAAATCATACTTCTGGACTGAAAGCTCAGTGCCATCCCAGGTTCCCCATTTAGAAAGAAAGTGGAATTGCAAGCACACAGGCTACAGCAGAGATGGCATTTCTGTAGTTCTGCTCTCACTCTTATTCTGGATGATTTTGGCCTCTCTTTCTCTGTCTATGTCTCCTGGTTGGCTGTAGTATCGTAGTACTGTGACTCTTCCAAGAACCTTCTCTTTGAGTACAACTGTAATCAAGCTTCTTACATAAAGTCACCAAGGATGTATTTGCTTTGTTGGAATTTTTTCCCAATTTGGAACAGTATATATGATTTTTTTTCCCTCCCTATTTCTTTCCAAAGGTACTCCTTGGAAGGTGACGTGAGGAAATGGCTGAGAATTGATTCAGCCACTGGGCAGGTATACACTGCTTCGCCTTTGGATCGAGAAACTGAAGAAATATACCGAATAAAGGTTGTTGTATCAGAACTAAGTAAGTGATGAAACAACTAAATATACACACAGAGGAATCCCTTGTCCTTACTCTTTTATGAGGAATTATCATACCTACCATGACTAAGTACTGGAACCCATGAAAAGTACTGGAACATGTAATCTCAGATATACATCCTGTGGTGTATCCTTAGAAGTATATATTTCTTAAGAATTTAAATTTCCTGAAGAACTCTTGATGCTGTTGATAACAAGGATTAAAATAGCTTTCATGAAGTTGGGTATGGTCTTATATTTGCTTGAACCACATGACATATAGAGAAGATTCAAATTTTTTCACTGTTTTCAGTATCAATATTTTCTGCTGCTTTATTCTCTAGAGCTTTGAAGATTTTAGTCTTTCTCCTAGGTATGATTAGGCTTCCTGAAAACATACCCAGAGAGTAGTTTGTAATCTTCGACAGAATTTCATTTTGTTACAGTTAAAATGAATACTCTGTCAGATCTGAAATATATTAGGACTTCTAGTTCCAGCCATTAAATCTTTCAATTTTGGCTTGCATTTTCTGTCTATAGAAGAGGGGCGGGAAACTCAAGGCATTTCATGCTTAAGAGCGCTCCAAAGAGCACTGGTCACTTTGGATGTGACTGCTTGCTAGACATGATGGAAATGACAGATTACTAGATAAGATCTGCCTCCTGTCCCTTGCTAGCGTTCTGTAGCTTGCAAGAACTGGCGGTAAATAAACAATGCTTGTTAAAAACTAGTGGCAGCTGCCATAAATCCCACAGGACCTCCTGAGACCTTGTTTCTGCCACCTTTAGACAGAACACCACCTTTCAGTGCCTATCTGATGATGTACCTCTGTGATAGCTGCAAATGCAACAGCCCAGAGTGTAAATCCAAGATGTGCATGTAACTTTGCATTCTGTTAAACTCGACAGATAATGCAGCTCAGAAATCCGAAGCATTGTTGACTCTACACTTACGTGATGTGAATGACAACTACCCACAAATAGCTACGGATTATCCTGCTTTCTTCTGCTACCCAGTCAGCGGAGGAGAGAGAACTCTCATTCAAGCTACTGATGCTGATGAACAGTTCTTTTATTCAAAATTTACTTTTTCCCTTGCGGATGACATGAATGCAAGAAATAATTGGGAAATCTCAAAATTCAATGGTAAGCTAATTCAGCTATTCTTACAATGATATGGGACTCACTTGGTACTCTGGTGAATATGAAGAATTACACAATTCCTTTTCACTGTTACTATTGCATAACCAGTGTCCCACATAGAAAAAAAATTGGGTTGTTGAGAACACCAAAGTCATTAATTATTTTTTGCAAGAGGTAAAATCCAGGATGTTGCAAGCTATAATTTCATTAGTATTTTTGAGACAAGAAGAATGTAAATATGAAATATGTGTGTGTTTAATGAACACAATTCACTACTGAAAAAGAAATAGAACAGTTTGCAAACTGTACATTTCTGACATTTCATGCAAAAGGAAGTCCTGCCTCACAAAGTGAATGGAGCTTTTTGAAGGGGACAGTAAGCACATGAATAAGTGCTTGGCTGATAGAGCCCGTCTGAATTAATAAAACATGTTTGATGAATGGTCCCACTAGAGAAAGCTGGGTTGCCACAAATTTAAAGTTATGAAAAAATAAATAATAATTTAAAATTCTGGACTTGGAGTAAACAGTCAGCTCTTGCAGTGAAGGGAGTTCATGTGTAGTTTTCCAAAGGTTTTTTGCTGGGATCTGCATAACTCAATACATATGGATGTGCAATGAGGAGGCAAAGTTTATTCATGATACAAAGTTATTTGAGTAGGAGCCAAGCGTGAAGAATTTCAGAACATTCTTCCAAGACTGAGTTGGTTGAACAATAAAATTCACAGGTGCTAGTGAACCCTGGACTCCCAAATTCACTTTCGAAATCATGGGTGCTGAGCTGGCCATTATGAATCAGGAAGGAGAATTGCAAGCAGTTCCATGGAAATGTGAGATCAGCAGTATTCAAATAAACAGGTCAAATATTGAGGATTACCAGGAAACAACCGGAGAAGAAACCTGAGGACATCATTATGCCCCTGTATAAATCCATAATTTCTTCAAGCTTTGAACTCCGGTCCCTCTATCTCTATCATAAAAATGCAGTATAACTGGAAACAGGTTTAGATAGGCTGACAAGGATAATCAGAGTTATAGAATGGCCTGATATAAGGAAGCGTATAGGAGCAGCAAAGTAAGCTACTACTTTTAATCATGGAAGACAGTAGGGAAAGTATGCAATAGAGAGATATAAAATTATGAACGCTCTGGTCAGGGTGGCCAAGGTTCATCCTTTGCTCTCTCTTCCAGTGCACAAACCTGGGACCCTCAAGTGAAGCTTGTGGAGTTATTTACAGTGCAGATAGAATGAGGAGGTAGCTGACTTGGGAACTTGCTATTGCAGGGTGTTGTGTATGCAGAAATTTTCTACAAAGCAAGAAATTACATCTTGCTCAAGAAGTCCTTGAGCTGAAAAATGTTTAAAGGGTGAGAGGGAGGAGGAAGTAAAATACATGCTTTCTTTTTCATCATAATCGCCATTTATTCTGAAAACAAGATACTTACATCAACAGACTTTTGATCTGATCCCAATGGCTGGTTTCACCTTTTCCAGTTTTTAAAGAGTCTTAGATGTGACAGTGTAAGTTCACTAGGAGGATGGTCTGTCCTACATTTCCTTGGGAACAATTTAAGCTGGTTGTGGTCTCTGTGTGCATTGGGGACTATTCCAGGTTCACATGGGATGCTATCAGTGTAGCACTACCCAAGATCAGATTTGGCCTGATGTAGAAATTAGGAAGGAAATTTTATATTTCATATTATGATGACGGCCAGACTAGGCTTCCAGGTATTCCCTTTTAACTTAATGTCTGCAAACCAATGAGATCCTGGAAGACATTGAAGAAAACAGGAATTACTATCATGTGCAAAGCAGCCTTAAAAAAAAAAAAGTCCGCTTGCAGCTGGTATGAAAGCTGAACTAACTTTCTTTCTTGTGCTGACCTGAATGTCCCATTTCTTACTTACAGCTACTCACGCTTACCTGTCCCTGAAACATGCTAACTTTGAAGAGAAGGTGTATGATGTTCCAATAATACTTAATGACAATGGAAAACCGCCTTTGGAAAACAAAGTGAATCTTAAAGGTATTCCTATGCACACAACTATTACCTTCAAGACAGCAGTTACATTTATAAATAACCAAATGTGACCACTAAACTTCTCATTAACCTCATGGCATTTCCTTTTGCAGTAAGCATCTGCAAGTGTTCCAGTGAAAATTCATGTTTTATTGAAATAGACCGTGAGCACTCCTGGCCAACCGCTGGGCAGGCAATTGGGATTCTGCTTGCAGTCCTGATCATCATTGGTAAGTCACTTCTTCCTGGCTGATTTGAAGCCAGACCTCTGAGATATGATGGTGCTGCTGCATTTCTCACATGAAGTCACTTGTTGGGTGAAGACTTGTCAAGCATGTTGCAGAATGAGTGAAAGAGGGAAGATCCCATGATTGTGTATCACGATGGCTGCAAACTTCTAAGGTTTTGGTTGTAAGAAAAATGTCCAGTGGCACAACAACCAGTTGGGACAGAAGAAACTGCTGAACCTCTAGTATAGTGTCATTTCATTGCTACTGACTGCCCTTTGCCTGTCAGGGAGGGGATTTGAGTTTTGTCTTGGGCATCCAGATTGTAGTAAAAATAGTGAAGCTTTCTACTTATGGTATCTGTACCTGTAGCTTATAGTCATCATTTTATTCTCCTATTTCAGCTTTGCAGGTTTACATCTTTCATCTTCATTCTAACAGTGATAAAGAGGAAATAAATTTATATACAGTATAACAAACTCATAATGATTTTAAAAGATCAAATGATACATTATATCATTATATATATATATATATATATATATATATAAATGAGGGACTGCATCTCAAGACAAACATACAAATCCCTGCACAGAGGGAGGGGGGGCTAAAACAGACACTTTGCCATCTGGTCAGACCCTAGAGGAAAAGTTTTCCTTTGAGGGAAGGCCTCTGAGCCCCAAGGCATCTGATCCTGCCTAGCACTGACTGGGTTGATGCTCTTGGTCTCATGCTGCATGATCCTTCCTCAAAGCTGCTTCTGTTCAAGAGCACTGTGGATATTACAGGGCAGTGTCATGGCCCTTGCTGGAACATCTTTTCAGAAAGTTTTCTCTCCCCTTTACAGACAAACACTCTCTCTTTTTCAGGTGCCATTTTAGCAGGTGTGTTTTTCCACATGAGATACAAAGAGAAAAAAGAAAAGAGCCATCCCAAGGACGCAAAAGATAACGCTGAACTCAACAGACTGACTTAATGACTGTTTCATCAAGAGACAAAACCGGCCTTTGGGTTGTCAATGAGTGAACTGTGAAGCTTCCAAAGCCCAGAGATGTGCTATCACAAAAACAAAAAAAACATGCAAAAGTAGACTCCCAGGGGTTTGGCCTCACTTTTGTACATAATAGTCTTTAGTCACAAAACATAAAACGTATGTAATCTTTAGCCATTAATGAGCTTATCAGCTTTGACTAAAATGTCAATTATAACAGCACCAAATGCTGAGCTCCTTCAGGGATCTATACATTGGACCAGTCTCCTTCATCTGACTGCTGATGCAAATATGGACTTTACAGAGGACTACATTTTGTTGACCTGCACATATTTGTCTCTTTCCAATTCTGTAAGTCACTGAACAGCAGACTGGGGAATAGTCCTGTGCTACATTTGAAGATACTCCATGAAGTTGTAGGAATCACTCTGACTCTCAGCAAAGGAGATCCCAAACTTATTGCAATCTGTAATCTGCCCTGGGCCTTGCCTGCTTACATTTGTACCATCAATGTGATATTTCAATTTTTCTTTTTTGATATCCCATAAAGTAAAACAAGTTTGTGAAGTACCATGGCCTTTCATTACAGTTTCCAAGTTAAAAAAAACTCCTATGCCGAGTCATGTAGGTAATATACTGCTTCATCATACTGCTGCAAATATTGCTCTTGCCCCTTACACATAAGATAAGAATAAAAAGTTTCTTTAAAGATTTTAGTCCCTGCTTATTTTATAAAATAAATAAAAAATGAGAGAGTGCATGAGAGAAAACCATTGCTGCTTGGTTCTCTATTGTATTTAACCCTTACTTTCACCTAATACAGATTAAAAATGGCTCTGAGGCCAGACTATGTGTCCAGCTGATTCCTGATGCAATGACTGCTGGAGCCACATCTATCCTAGTTACAGTAAAATGTATTTGAACCCAGAGTTACACCCAGAGAAAAAAGCCTTTCTCCTGACAGCATGCCTATAGAAGGGCATTTTTGGTGACAGTTTGAGGACGGCTTTTCTTTTAAGCTATAAATAAAAGCTGACAAATATTGTGTTAAACCGAAAAGACAATATACTTTTGAAAACATTCAAGAAAAGGTCATATGGAAAAGAGCATATTTGTTTACCCAGGGTTTTTTAATGGCTTTTGCATGCAGCACAGAACTAGAAAGAAAAGAGCACTTTTTTGGTAGAGTTGCACTTATAATAGGTTTTCCTAGAATGTTGCCAGCAAAAACTTTGCTTTTGGGCTTCAGCAACACAACCCAATTGTTGTACCTCTTGCCCCAGCTTCCCCAGCTGTTGGAGCTCTGTTATTTGCTGGGGGGCTCACTGCTGGAATGTATTTATTTTATGATGGGAATGTAATCCATTATATTTGGAAAGTATGACATTCAGTTACGTCAGTGTGTCCAGGGATTAAGATTAGTATATTGTTTTATAAATAAAGGAGCCAAAGATCAGCAGTCGTTGTACTTGTGTATACCAACACGTCTTTATCTGAAGATGGGGAAAATGTGCAGAAGTTCCCCTTTGCTCTGTCTCCCTGACCTCTCTTTGTGTTTGCTAAGTTTACTCAAGTGCATCTCCTATTTTGAACAATTTCTTTTCTGGAGAAGGGTCAAAAATTTTCTTTTCCTCATTTACCTACATTCAGAACTGGTTTGAGAGCAGGACCTTGTCCTTGTCCCTGTCCCCAGCCTAACATTTCCTCTGTTTCTTGTGTCTCATGGGGTAATTCACTGCACCCTCTCCCACCTGCCCACAGACTGGTTGAAAGCAGAGCTCCTCAGACCAGCAAAAATGTTCCCCCCTCCTCAGGAACACATTTTCAGTCTTGAAGACTTTCAGTCTCGGTGCACTGGGAATCAGCCCTCCTGCAGGTACTTAATAAATGCTGTTTGCATGAGGTAGGAGAGTCTGAAGGAAACCCCTTTGGGGCGCTCCTTCTCTGGCGTCTCCCTGGGGTGACATTCCCAGGGCTGAGCACACTTGCAGCTGCAATGGCCCCTGGACAGCCCACACCTCTGCCTGCTCCAGGGCACAGGCAGTGCCTGCAGCACCATGCCTGCCTCACCCACCTCTGCTCCCTTCCCCAGCCCACCTGCAAAAGCCTCTGTGCTCAAGGGATTTGGGATGTTCATGCTTGCAGGGGCATACCCAAGAAGTTCAGCTGCTGGCTGACCTGTGCCTGGGCAACCATTGCTTCTTAGTGCTGCTCAAACTGTTCAAACTTAAACAAAATTAAAAAAAACCAAAATCAAAAAAACCCCGTCATTTCCAATCCTGACACAAATATTCTCATTTTTTTCACCTTTCTTCTGCCTGCCTGCCAGAACTTCTCCTCCAGGGTTTATTTAACCCAGTCCTGCTCTGGCTCCTTCACTGGTTCAGTCTTTTTTGGGAGCCAGACAAAAGTTCTCACCCAGCCTTAACTCTCCCCCTGCGGCAGACTGCTGCCCCCGGCCTCTGCTCCAGAGGACAAACTCAGTTTTCTTTGGGTCTCTGGAGAGGAAGAGAAGCAATACTTATTATTATTCCTTCCCACCATGCTTCCCACCAGCTCCAGCTGGTTCCCAGGTCCCTGCAGGGGTGGCAGACATTAGGACATTTTGCCCTTGTACTTGCTCCAAGTTCAAGGATGAGCATTACTTTTTGAGCTTCTCAAAATCTGGACAATGTCTGTGAGTCACTGCACCCTCCAAAGTTGTTTCATTGACACTTACTGGACAGCATAAACTGCACTTTACATATAAAAGTGCAAAGCTATGGACAGCATTGAAACAAGAATTTTCTTGTTTAAAAAGATTTAAACAAATATATAGTTCTCAGAAGTTAGGCACATTATTACTTTTTAAACACCTTGGAAATATTGCCTTCTATTAATTCTATTTCTTTTTTTCTGTTTGAATAATATATATTGTATACTGGCATGACTTTCACACCTGCAGGAAAAACTAGGAAGTAATTAGGAAAAGCTGAAGCAGTGCTTTAAATATATGATTCTTACAAGAAAAGGGTAGACATGCAAAAGCTCTCCTGATTTATATCCACAAATTCTTAGAATAGCTTTATACATTGACAGGAGGACAAATTTTAAAAACAACGTTGATGACTTTGGACTCCAGTTTTGCCAAGAATAATATCACACAAGAAGTCCAGTGATGAAATCTGCTGAGAATATGTCCTCTGGCACTGCTCCTTTCCATGGCTCCTCCTCCAAGCCTGCAGCATCTCATTAAAAGGTTTACAGATGGCAAAAGATGTTTCAGTGCTTTCTAATTCTTTTTTACAAGATTAGAGACTTATCAGGCTTTTGATTATCTCCAGGATTAATGGCATACATTAATTAAACTGTCATTATGCCTCTTTTTCCACCCTTTGTAAATATAAACTTGAAAAGTAAGAACAAGATTTTTATCTGTGTTTATAGAACAAATGCCACAGGACAGCAGCTTTGGGGGTGGGGAACGTGTGCTGATCCCACGTTGTGAAGGAGAGTCCATCAGCCCTCACAGTAAGAGGCTGTAGCAGCTCACGTAGCTACTGCAGTGCCTGGTAACGGGGACCAAGGTGGGGCAGCCCCTGGGGATGGGTGGGCACGGCTGGGGTGGCTGTGCCGTGCAGCTGGCTGGAGTCACCAGCATGTCCCCTCCCGTGTCTGGGGAACAAACTCTCCCCATACCTGGGGAATGCAGAGAGAAATGTGTTTTCACCCAAAAAATGGATCTGCAGTGAACTGTGCTGCTGGGGCAGGCAAGCACCATGTGCAGGAGCAGAGAGGGAATTGAGGTGGGATTAGGAAACTGGCTGATAAAGAGCAACTGCTTTTGGCTGAAAGCAGATGAGTACTCTTCCAATCCCTCTGTGTAGCAGCTAATCCTAAATGCACCTCTCTAAGAGTTTGAGAAGACTTTCTTTCAAAATAAATAAACACATTTATTCGTAGTATTCTTTTCCACAGATTTGCCAGAACTGGGAGCTGAAATTAGCTGACTTCTTATACAAACTAGGACAAGGAGCAAATGTAATCCACAGTCACCACTGCTTCTAGACACCAGAGATCTTGCACTAAGTCTTTAAATGGCATTCCAATGCCATTCACCCAGTCAGAGAAGTTCTCCTTCCCTCTTGATTGGCTTTAGGTCTTGAGCAGAGAACTCAGAAATCTGCTGCTTCAATTGCCAGACAAAATCCCAGAGCTACAAGTCTGTGCCACAGCAAGAGACCATCCTTTCAGCTGAAAATACTCTGATTCTGTGATCCTCTATGGACAGAAAAATGAAGCACCACAGGCTGTGACCAAAGGGTTGCAATGATGTACATGAGCATCCATTAGTGCAGTAAAATACCACAGAAACATTCAGTAAGATGGACAGCATGATCATGCTAAGGACCCTAAGCCAGGAAAAATACTTCCAGTTTTTTGCTTGCATATTCCGAAAGAAAAACAGAAGATTAGAGGCAAACCAGCAGCAGCTCTTTGAACTCATTGCTGGACAGCATGTTCCTCCAGTGATAGTGAAAGACTGCACAGCACAGGGACACAAACTGCTGAGCCTGTTCTGTTTACAGCTTCAGGGCCACGGATGGGTGATGGATACAGCTGCAAAAAGATACTCTGCCACAGATGAGCTCAAAGGGAAGCAGTGTCTTGTGTTTGCAGCTAAAAAGATGACAACTTTTATTGCCCACTTACGTCTGGTTATGACATCAGTACTAAAAGTGGGGGTTAAGCAAGCACCATCTCACCATTCCTGAATCATTCCATAATGCTGAATATGGTCAAGAAATGTGTTTCTACAGCCTCCTTTTCCAGTTCATTATTCCTCAGGACTAACATTAACATGAAAATCCTCTAAGGAAGGTGTAGATCTAGCACATGATTCCTGGCTCTCAGAACTGACCAAAAAGAAGGTGGAATATGGAGACTAGGAGAGAACCCTCTGCTGCATTAATCCCATCACCAAGTGAAAAGAGCTGCAGTCTAGTGCTGGCAGCCAGCACAGGAACACACCTCCTGTTGTTTCTCCACCTGCCAGAAACAGCCCCTTTGAAGATTTCACACCCTGGGGCCTTCATTGCAGAGCTACATGCCTGCATTTGAATAATTTCCATTGTTTAGCAAAGCTGAAGTGATGCAACAGCTGAATCCACAAAACATTTCCTACTGTGAGGTTCACAGAAGGTTTATCCCATCCCTCTGTGCAGTACAGCTGAGCTCACCTGTGCTGCTTGTCCCTTCCCAGCAAAGTGACATGTCTGTCCTCACTCAACACAGAAAGGCCATTGTGGAGAAGCAGTGGAGGACAAGTAGTACCAGAGTAATGCCAGTAATGATTTACTGACTTGATTTGCCTTAGTTATAACTCAAGAAGACTTTTGAAATAACTTGTCCCACCCAGCTGAGCAGAGTGACAAGAGGTGGGGACTGGCAGAGCTGCTGCTGTGCTTCTTTCACACATTCAGTTTGGACAGCAAAGGGTTACCAGGAGAGGTAATGGTGGGAGATCAGCAGGCAGAAGGAACAGGAAGGCAGCACCAAGTAAGACACACCGAAAAAATGAGAGCAGAAAG